TGTGCTGGTTAGTCCTGTGACCGTAGACTATAACTATGCGAACATAGGAGGATTTGTAACCACACGCAGAGCAGACCAGGGAGGGCTTCCTGGAAGAAGTGGTCCTTGGACTAACCCTTACACTTAGCCAGGAAAAGGACTTGGGGTGGGAGGAAGAAGAGCTGCAAGCTCTGAGAGTAGCCGCAGGGTGAATGTGCCTTTTCGCTTATCCTCTTGGTCTTTATCATTTTCAACATCCTTCTTGCCGCCTTCTCTGGCAGCAGTTGTGTGTTGCCTACCCAATACCCACTTCTCTCTGGGATGAATGGGAAAGGGAAACAGTTGCCAGTCTCCCCGCATCCAGGTGGGGGGCTTGAAGACGTCTCCCCGAGAGAAAGGAAGTCACCGTTCTTTCCTCCTCTCTCCTTCCTGGGGTCTGGAAGGTGCGTGTGAGGGCCAGAGCGCTAGCAATCCTCTGGGACAGAGGCAGAGGGAACATGGGGGAAGTGGAGGCAGAAGCTGGAAGCTCCTGGGCAATGTCATGAAGCCACTTGCCTCAGCAACTTCTTTTATGTAAGAAACAGGTAAACCATCACCTTGTCTGGGTCATTACCAGCTGGCGCTCTTTCTATTATATGCAGCCGTCCCTAAGTGATCCACCTCTCAAGACCAGCCTGGCTCACAAATAATGATCGTTTCCTTCTCTAGATTCATAGCGCTTGTTTGCACCACTCACCGGACAAATAAATCTCCGCCCGGAGACACCGGTTGCGGGGCTATTTCACTTTTCCTGGATTTATATAAACCTCCCCAACCAGCAACAAGCTTCTGGAGGAAGAGCATCAGGCCATATATCTGTGCCTGTCACTCAGTTCCTAGCCAATTCCCTGGCAGCGCGTGCATGCTTAATAGCTGTTCACTGTCGGATTATGCCACGATTGCCCTTCAGAAAAAACGTGGGCCTTTTAAATCTTTGTTTCAAACTCTTCAGGAAGGGCAATAACAGTGTACAGGAAAATATCCCCTCTAAGGAAAAAACAAAGACAAAAACTCAACCCCCAGAGTAATGGCTCTGAGATGCCATAATATGACAAGGCGTAGCCAAGAAATCACTCGCGTTGCTTCCTTGGAAATAGGCGTCGGTAGCCCTCACCTATTTGGCTCAGTGGATAGAGCGTCAACCTGCAGACTGAAGGCCCAGGGTTTGATTCTCCAGGGCACATGCCCGGGTTGTGGGCTCCATCCCGTGTGGGGCGTGCAAGAGGCAGCTGATCAATGATTCTCGCATCATTGATGTTTCTCTCTCTCTGTCTCCCACCCTTCCTCTCTGAAATCAATAAAAATAAAAATAGGCGTTGGTAGCACAGAGACCCCCTTCCAGACAGAAGCCAGCCCCCCTGAGAGCAGAGCCTCGCCTTCTGAGTTTGTCACCGCTGAGATGTCTGACCCTGGAAACACCACCTCACGCACAAGGGAGCTGTTGGGGCTGGAAGTCAGATGGCCCCGCACATGCTCGCCCTCCACATCTTTCTCCCAAACGCAGCCTTCAGTTCCACTTGCACAAACGCTGTGCTTCCCCCTGCACAGCCGCTGGTTTGCCTTTGAAAGCCTTCAGGGCTCTGCTCTGGGGCTGCCTACCTCCCTGCCAGCACTGTGTCTGCAGACCGTCCTTAGCACTTACCCACACAGCCCGTGGGACAAAGCCAGGGAAACTGAGGAAGAGGGAGGGCCATCCCATCTGTATATCCACCAAATACAAGACATGAAAAAGAAAAAAACACAGGAAAGACGATGTACAGTATCAAAAGAAAACAAAAATCACTTTCTAATGGGCTTCCTCTTCGCCAGCTCTGAAGCGAGGCACTTGCTTCCTCCTTGTTAACATTTGCCTTTTGAGTAATTTTTTCCACTGTAAGCACTTTCTAAAAAATCGTTTTCACACATTTCTCCGATACATGATTCCTTTCAGCATTCCTCCATGCGCACATTCTGGGACCCCGGCTCTAAATAGAAAAGACTTTTATTATGTCCATTAACCATGGACATATGTGCTCCAAAAGTTTCCTGACACGCAGTCATTTGTGGTTTTTAATTATAAACAGAAAATATTCACTAGAAAAATAAAGCAGCAAGCCCATAAATATATCTTTATGCATTTGCTCGCGTACAACAGAGCATTTGGATACACGGCTCTCCCGGCTGCCAGCTCCAGGATGCGAACACGTGTGCGTTTAGAAACACACAGAGAGGAACATACACTCACATGCACATTCAAGTCCATGCATCGTACTGGACTCAGGCATCTTTAACTTAGAGTACCACTGTCGTTTTTCCTTTTAATTTCAGAGGAAGGGAGAGGGAGAGATAGAAACATCAATGATGAGAGAGAATCACTGATCAGCTGCCTCCTGCACACCCTCTACTGGGGACCAAGACCACAACCCGGGCATGTGCCCTGACCATGACCTCCTGGTTCGTAAGTCGATGCTGAACCACTGAGCCATGCTGGCTGGGCCCACTGTCTTCTTTCTAAAATAAAGAAACGGGTTTTCCTCACCAGCTCTCCCCCTACATGAAGGTGAATTGGCAAAGGCAACGCCCAGTAAAATACTTAACAACGTCATATTTATTGAATGCGTTTTATTTTAACAACCAAAAAATTCTAACAGCCTAACAATGCACATAAGTTAAAAATTAATTATCACTTAGTGATAACAAAGATAGTTGATTTACATGGAAAAAAGAACATTTACAATATGTTAATCCTTATTCACATTGTTGATACCGCAATAAAACACAATTTGTTTTTCATTTCACACACACAAAAAAGGCGGGAAATTGTGCTTTGTCAAGAGGCACTACAAGAGAAAGTTTCTTCTTCCAAATAGATATTATATGACAGATATTGAATAAATAGACATATATGCATTGTAATTCGCAAAGATCTGGCAAGACCACAGGCTAAAATGCCCACAGATTCACTTAGAACCACTGCAAACTTGGCAGTGAAATTAAAAAATAAAAGGCAAGACTTAGCATTGAAAAATACCTAATAAATTTTTGGTTGAAGTGTAAAAGATACCAAATGCGGATGCCATCGATCGATGAACCACCTTGTAAGAGCTTGGCAAACCAGTTTCCGTTACGTGGACAGAGTGACCTTCAGCGACAGTGTAAGAAGACAATTTGGAGAGAGTAACTCGGAGATCAGGGGGCAGCCGCGGCCTTTCTGATGAAAGCCGCAGCGCGCTACAGGAGGAGGGGGGCTGGGCCCAGGCTTTAACCGCAAACAACCATCCCTTCGCAAAGGTACGTGATGCTCGTGTGGAGATCATCTTTTCAACATCGGTATTGGGAAAAGTACAGGAACATGTCCCTTTAAAAACTCCAGAGGTTACTGAGCAGCTAGAATTAGCTTGTATTGCAACGTCTTCTCCCTGTATAGTGTAAGTTCTGAGTTAATATCTACACATAGAGGTTTGTTTTTTTTTAACTCCTACCTCTTATACCTTTCAAATATATAAATAGTATTAACAGTTATATTACAATGGTTGTGTAGTAAACAGAAAATAACTTTCAAAGTGATATTGCATGAGGTCTTTGACAAGGTTGCATGAGAACACAACTCAATAATAAAAAATAAAAAAAATCCAACGGTGTGGGGCTGTCCGCTGGCCACGATGAAGCCGGGTCAGGCTCACCAGGCCGGTCCTGAAGGTGAGGTCTCCTCTTGCGATGACGCTAATGGAAGTGGAGTGTTTCTGAGAAGAAGCTAAAGGTTGGGGAGCTGTGGCAGAATGCAGCTCTCCTGCTCATTCCACTCAGCAGCCCGTGGGCATTCGTTCTGCGTGAGGACAAGTAACTGCTGTGTAGGGAACTGGGAAAACGTTTCCGATGGCGACAAGCAGGTGACGCCACTGCAATTGTGTCACCTGCTCTATTGCCTGGAGCTGCACAATGACTCGACCCCGGGCTCTGGTGAGGGCTGCCACGCGGGGGCTGTGAGAGCAGGAATGAGAGTGTTTGGTCGGGGGGACGGAATGAGCAGGAGGGAGAGGAAGCCCAGAGGGAAACAGGAGTGGGAAATGCCTTTTGGGAGACGGATGCAGATTTATTTGAGAGGGAGCCCCTTGAACTGGGCAGCAACTTCTTTTCTAACTTAACGTTACATTGAACTATTTTCTATTTAAAAACAAAAACAAAAAAAGACAAAAGAAAACAGCAACAAACAACTTTTAAATGAGCAGGCTTATTCATTTTAAGATTTGAAGCCACGAGCAGGTAAATAAATCTCACAACAGAATGTGGCTCATACTATGAATTCCATATGTCCAACGTCAAAACGGCGTTTTATCAAGACCACGCTAATGTCCAAGTTTTCTCTGTACCGAATTTCAGGTTTACTCGTCTGGAATTCCACAGAAATACATCTGATCACTAAAGCAACGACAGGTTGAATAACGGAACATATCGAGTCAGTTTAAGTGTGCATTGTGTCTTTAAGAGTAATTGGACTTGTATCATTTAAGGTGCCCTGATTTTTTTTTCCCTTTACCTTCTTCTTCTTTCTCTCTCTCACTTTTTTTTTTATTTTTATTTTTTTTTTGGCAGTGTTGATTTATTTTGTTAAATACATACCTCAAAAATTACCCATCAAGCTGCCAGATAGGAAGCCATAGAATTAAAAAAAAAATCAGGGATAAACACAGAAAATAAATAGGAATTCAAAAATAGTCACCCCACCCTGAGAGCAGGCCGAAGTTTATCAAAAAGCCAAAGCGACTCACTGGGAAGTGGTTTTTTGTTTTTAATACATAAACAAGTCTCTTCTCCAAGAACTCATTTCACAGTCTCTTCTTTCCGGTTGTAAGGTTCTCTGTCCCATGCAATTTTCATATATATATGTAAATATATAGATATGTACATATACATATACACACACGTGTCGCTTCCTTCATGTGTCTTGTCCGTCTTTTCCTCCCGGGACTGGCCCCCTGGCTCTTCGATGAAGTGCAAGAACAGCGAAGGCAGCGTCTCCGGGCCGGCATGACTGTGCTCCAGTCCATGGTCGAAGTGTAACACTCGAGTGTCTTTGCCAAGGCGACGTCTGATTGGGAAATACTGAACGTATTCACTCTACAGGTGTATCCTGTGCAACAAAGAAATGTCAACAACAAAAAAGGTAAGAAAAACCAAACAGACCAAAAAAAAAAAAAAGGCAAAAATAAAATAAAGCCAAAAAAAATTTTTTTTTTAAAAAAAGCAACGAGAACAGAAAATCCTTGGACCGATGTATTGCTGTGCCTGGTGGGGGTTCACATTATCTCTGGTCGCTGTCCGCGGGCGCGGCCTTGCCCTTGTCGGCGCCCTCCTCCTCGGCCTCCACCTTGAACATCTCCTCCGAGCCCTCCTCGCTGTCGTTCTCCTCCGACTCGGTCAGCAGCTCCTCGTCCTTGTACTCGGCCACGTCCACCGCGGCGCCCAGGTGCTCCTTGAGCTTGCCGTGGTGCTTCACGTGGTACCGCTGGTTCTGGAAGAACTTGATGATGGTGTGCTTGGGCAGGTCCAGCTGCGCCGAGAGCGTGTGGATGGCCTCCTGGTCGGGGTACAGGCCCACGTCGTGGATGAAGCTCTGCAGGATCCCCAGGGCTTCCAAGGAGATCTTGGTGCGAGACCGGGGCTTTTTGGCACAACTGTCTTCAGCGGGCGGCGGCGGGGGCGGGGCCTCCTCGCGGGGAGGGGAGCTCTCCTTGGTAGCCTGGGCCTGCTGCCTGTGCAGGACCTGCTGGTTCAAAGGAAAAGGAAGTTAACATGGGACTCGCCATGTGACCTTCGCCGAGGCATCCTCCTCTGCACGATGGGCTGTCCGTGCAGCAGGGGAGCGAGGCTGTGCTCGCCTGGACACTCAGGCCTCCAGAAAACCAAAGAGCACTGCAGGGGATGTAGACTCACATCTATAAGAGGTTAGTAAGAGCCCGGCCCCGGTGGCTCAGTGGTTGAACATCAACCTATGAACTGGGGGGTCATGGTGCGACTCCCGGTCGGCACACATATCCAGCTTGCGGGCTCCATCTCGAGCCTGGGGCGTGCAGGAAGCAGCCGATCAAAGGTTCTCTCTCATCATTGATGTTTTTTTCTCTCTCTCTCTCCCTCTCCCTTCCTCTCTGAAATCCCTAAAAATGTTTTTTAAAAAGAGGTTAGTCGTAGTGATGTTGGCAGATATTTACATTCTGAGGCACGAAGACGTTGGTCATGGTGGCCAAGGTCATTTGAATTCAGGCAACCTGGCTCCAGAGTCCTCCTTGCAGTTAGCCAGCATGACGTGCCTGCTGCCTCCCTGAAAGCCAATGGCAAAGAAACCGGACCCAGAGGAACAAGTGGGCTCTGCAATGGCAACCCATGGGTTCAGGTCCAGGTGCTTCCGCTTAGCGGGGCGTCCTTAAGGTGCAAGACACTGACCATCGTTAAGCCCAATCTCATCCCCTATAGCAGAAGGACAAGACTCCCTTCCCAGGGACGTGGCAAAAAGGAGTAAATGGCATAATGTACGTAGGAACAGTGCCTACCGGAAATCACAGGCTGACAAACGTATCCACTGAAGGGCCAGAGAACAAATATTTTAGTCTCTGTTGAATGACTCAACTCTATCTTTCAAGCATGAAATCAGCCATAAGTAATATACACACAAACAAACATGGCTACGTGTCAATACCATTTTATTTACAAAAACAGGTGGCAATCTGAACGTGGCCCATGGGCCATAGTTTATCCACTCTGGCTTCGGGCAGACTTCCAGTAAATGACAGCCAGTGCTATCATCAGCCTCACAATCACTCTTAGAGGAAGCGTGGACATTGGAGCCAGAAAACCAATCCTTCATAAAACTGGGAACTTTTCTGTATTTTCTCTTGGCTCTGATGTTGGTCCTTAAATATATATTTTTAAATAAAAACTTCCACATGAATTTAAAGGTAAAACTGTTTTGTAAACTATGAATTTTAAATGACTGTTTCATACTCATATAGGTGGACTTTCTCAATGTCACTATAAACTATTAATCCTGTTTTGCACACATTGTCTACTTTCTGTATTTTTACCCTTAATATCAAGGTTTTCTAGTTGTAATTAATTTAAATTTCTGTTTTATCTCTACCTATCCTCCACTTATTTTTTTTTAAAAAAGCTAGTTAGGCAAGCTATTTTTTTTTTAATCCTCACCGAAGGATATGTTTTTTCATTGATTCTAGAGAGAGAGGGAGGGAGAGGGAGAGAAACACCCATGTGAGAGAAAAACATCATCAGTTGCCTCCCCTACATACCCCAACACGGGGACTAAACCCACAACCTGGGTCTGTGCTCTGACTGGGAAGTGAAGCCATGGCCTTTCTGGTGCATGGGATGGGGCTCAGAGCACACCAGCCAGGATGGCAAGTTTATTCTTGATCTTCTTAGTGATATCCCTCTGCGTAAAATAATTCCCCCCTTTAATATATATTTATGAACTTATTTAATATGACAAAAAAAGGAAGCAATACAGAGGAAACAGTCAGAACCACTCCCTGCACTCTAGTCATCAGCCCATGTGAGAAGGGTCATATGGGGGGAGGGCTGCCGGGAGAGGGGGAGGGCTTCCAGGAGAGGGGGCAGGGCATGGATCCCAAGGAGGAAGCCCAGCTCTGCTGATGCCTCGCAAGGGCAGCAGCGATGTTGTGGAAGGAAGAGGCGCACATGGTGGCCCCACTATTGCAAAGGCAAAGACCACATTTCTCCTACCCAGATCCTGCCTAACTTCCTGGATCTTGCCAAGCCCTTTAAGAACAGTGAGTGTACTTTCTAAAAAATAAACACACGTTTCTCCTCTCACCATTCTCTCCTATTGTATACCATCTTTTTCATGTTAAAGTAACACGTTCAATACTTTCCAGAGTTCAGGGGGAAGTCCGTTTAATCAGTGCTGAAGAAAACATGTCTAGTTACATTAAGGAATCACTAGTCCCCCCACCCTCACCACCATCACTGTCACCACCACACACTACCCATGTGACCCATTTTCCTTTTTAGCTATAAAACATCACCATCAAAGCAAGTGTTTAAGAAAAAAAAAAATCTCTGACATTTATCCTCGTCTTAGGGACCATCTGATGAGAAAATAACTTCTCAGCAATGGGAAAATACCAGTCTGTTACATAGAATTTAACAAATATTGGGGCAGATGAAATTGTCACCTACGATAACGATAAAAGAGGATGAAACTTTTCAAATAGTAATTGATAATCAAGTGACAATCAAGACAACAATCAAAAGGATAATCTAACGCAAATAAGAATATCTCATTCTAAGCTGACTGCCGGGAGTAAAAAGAAATCTGAAACAGAGACCATGAAACAGTGGCTCAGGAGGTCCATGTGATGTTGGCCAATTAAAATGAATGTTCCTGGCGTTTGCTTTATCGCTTTCAACTAAGAGCAAACTCGTGTGGTCTGCCATGGGAAGCTGGCATCAGCAAAAAGTGAGCCCCATTACTTCAACACCCTAATTACAGCAGCAGGAGATGCGGAGTGGCGTGGTGGGCCGCACTGCCCACGGCAGCCTTGATGGCAGGAAGACCCTGCCTCGGAGGTCAAAATGTGGGCGGCCGGGCCCTGCAATAAATGAACCCCCATGTCAACAGGTGAGGGGTGGGTTTTCTGGTGAGCGAGGGAGACTGGAATTATGTATGGAATATATACATACTCGAAGATCAGACACTCAGGCACGAGTACCCCCTATTAGAGCAATTGCATTAATTGGAAAACAAAAGAGAATTAAAATGCCCCATTTTCTAAATTATGCTTGCCTTCTGTAGTAAAAGTCAGCACAACGGTTCCATTTAATTAAATCATCAGATTGGTTCTTTAGGGGTTTTCCATTGTGCACTGGTTAGATTTAAAGAGATTTTTCCAAAACTCTACTTGGAAGTTACTGTAATCTTTCCGCATGACAGGGTCTGTCCACCCAGCGGGCCCGCACACCGCCCTGCTTCATTAGGACACAGCAGCGGCAACACATGCACACGGGAAGCCACACATGAAACAGAAACAGCGGGGATCACAGCTGCCCTTACTGACTGTGTCCTCTGTGCCAGGCAGTGCTGAGAACTGCACAGTGACGACGTTTATCACCCTCCCGGTGCAGCAGGGAAGTGCTATTTGGATCAAGAACAACCTGAAAACACGGAGCATCTTGGGAAACCCTTTCCGTTGGAAATGAAGACCACCGGGTGCTGTGGGTCTGAGAAAGCAGGTGTCCAAGGAACAATGCCAGCCCATCACAGGAGAGAAAGATGTTTCTCAGAGAAGTAACAGCAGTAGACATGATCTACAAAGTGGACTCTCTTGTTTCCGGTCAATGTTCTCTAGTGAGTTGGGCAGCATGGCACTGTTCCATGAACAAGGTTAAGTGGTATTTCTAGCATCTTTGAAGAGATAAAGAAAAATAGAGATTGACAAAATGAGTAGCTCTAAGGTCAGACTGTCTTACAAGTCACCAAAAGGGCCTATTGATTTTGTTTTTTTTTAAAGAGAGAGACAGAAGAAGGGAGAGGGAGAGAGAAACACTGATGTGAGAGCAAAAGAGAAACACTGATGTGAGAGCAAAACATCAATTGGCTGCCATAACTCTATAGTTGACTTTTCAATACAACAATTAGGGTTAATAGCACTGAAATTTCTAATTGGCTTCAATAATAAAAAAAAAATGATGATGGCATTAGTAGGTGGTAGAAAGAGTATTATGAGCTAAAAACTAGCTTAAATGCTGTAAATATATTTTATTTTCACAGTAACCCTGGAGGTAGGTGGTAGGTGTTTTTTTACCCCATTTTATGATGAGGAAGCTGGAGTTCAGAGTTCAGACAATTTTTCTGGGGCCACGGAGCTTGTAAGTAGCAGAACTGGGATTCTAAAACTTGTCTGTCTGCTTTTAAATCCAATGCCCTTAAACGTATGTGCTCCTGCCTTCTGTGAGCAAGATTGCATTGGAAAACTGAACGAAGTCTCTAGAGCAAAGGTGGCAGACCATAAACAAAACATCAGGTAGCAATAACTACTATAAGCAAAAATAGAGCAATAGATGAGGAGAAGTGAGGGGAGGGGACGTTATTTTAGAAACAGTGACTCAAGGAAGCCTCCCTGAGGAGGAAGCATTTGAGCAGAGGCCTGAGGGAGTGAGGACCAAACCAAGAAGAAGAGCATCGGACACAGGAAACAGCCAGCAGAAGGGCCCGAGGCAGGAAGACACTCAGTGTATTTGAAACATCAAGGAAGATCCCACGTTAGAGCTCTGCCATCCAACAGAGCAACTACTAGCCACACTGTCTGTTCACATTTAGAGTTAAATTAATTGAAACTAAAAAAGAAAAAGCTCAGTTCCTCAGTCACATTAGCCACTTCTCAGGTGCTTGATGACCACACTGTGCAGTACCATCTTGGACAGCACAGACAGGGCTCATTTCCCTCATCGCAGGAAGTGGTGGTGGGCAGCCTACACTAGACGGTGCAGAGGTGGCCTTGGCCAGAGCAAAGGACCTTGGCATCTACGGTCAGGGTGATGAACGTCCTCACAATGAACTGCAATCATAATCAGCCCAAAATATAGTGGGACGTGAAACTGCCACTATTACTAGAGAGAAGAGAAATATTCATCTATCCACATGTGAAGTAAGAAAAACTCAGTTTGTAAGATATTACTGGACTTTCAAGGGCCTTCCACAAATAGCAACGCTATCATAAACACAACCAGAAA